TTGGGGTTGGGGGGTCAATGGCAAAAGGTTTCGGGCTCCCCTTTTTTTGGGCCCCCCCCCCCCCCCCTCCCCCCCCCCCTGCTTGCTGTTGCACCGAAAGGAGATTCACTTCTTCGGTAGCAGTGGAGTTGTGCACATCTCCTCTTAGGCGCACCAGCATGGTTTTCCAACTTCTTTCCTTCATCACAAATCCACTATCGCGCCAACGCACCGTCGGGTGTGTACAACGTTGGTCGCGTGTGTACACACCTTGGCAGCACTTGTGATACACCTATCTATAGGTTTGCGATCCACTACAGCAGTAGTACACCGCTTTGCGGTCCGCGATTTTCGAACTAGCCTTTTCTCGTCGACTTGGGTGAGGTAAGAGCAAGATTTTGGATGCTGCCGATGTGCGGTGGGATTTTCGAATGCGAACCGCACACGGCCACCTCCAAAGTTGTTCTCGTACCTCACCGACGTCGACGACAAAAGGCTCGTTGCGAACATCCCGGACCGCAAAGATGTGGTACAGTAGTACATCACAAGGGCTAGTGTAGCCTTTCGCGTTAGGGGAATAAAGCTCTCTGCTAAGCTGTCATCGGTTACCTAACATGCGCGACGTGTTCGGACGTATTTGGCGCGATGGTCCAGCTCAATACAGTACTGGGCCCTCTATAGTGCAGGTAAAATCTCTGGACACACCTCTACACTATGGAGGGTCCAGAACTGTACTTGAGTTTGAAGCCTTTGGAAATCCAAGTTAAGCAGGCGTTTCGTGGTTCGCTGAAGAGGAGATCTGCGCAACTCCACCGCCTCCTTCAACCGTTTCGGTTTTGTCGTTTTGACCCATACTTGTGTACGACTACTCCGTTTCTGCTGTGCCTGTGCGGAAATTGAACGGATTCTTCATGCACCTGATTTGCTTACGCGCATGGGGACTGCTGTTTACGTGCAAAGTACGGAATGTGCCACAGCGGATACGCTACTGCTGTGTACGGGATCATGTCAGTCGTTCTTTGGCCAAGCTTGTGGAACTTTTTCAGGGTTTCTCCACAGCTGGAAGTGCGCTGCTGTTTGCCATGTTATGACAGATGAGGACTATCGCCGCCAGCTACTGTAAGAGAGCTGGTATCACTGAAGCCCAACAACTCGCCTTCGAATCCGCTCGCAGTGCACGGCGGTGCCTCTCCGGCCACGTCGAGAAAGTAGCGCAAGAGACGCGAGTTGAGGGAGCTCGAAAATGGTGCGCGCCTTCTTCGGCGTTCTCATCTAAAAACACCACCACGCCATCCACCCATCGACGACGGTTTGTAATTTGAAGGCGTCACCATCGCCATCAGCAGCAGCACCACCAACAACGACAACAACGAAAAACACTGGTCCCGCCGACGAGGGATCTTGCGACGGTCTTCTTTTGGTTCTGAGGAGTAACGCCTCCCTCGCTTCCAATCCCTTGCTTCCCTTTCGTTGTTGTCGTTCGTCCTTCAGATCCGCAAGCTTCGTGACTGCGCGCCTATGGAGGGCGAGTTCTATCCAGACGAGGAGCCGGCGAAGGCTCTCGCTGCCATCAGCGTGGCCCTCAAGCCCTGGAGTTCTGCGTCCAGGTGCGACGGCTGTAACTACCGTATGCACGGGATTTCCCCTCTTGTATGTACGCAACCGCGGATGTCGTGCGAGGCCAACGGGAGAAAGACGCTATTGTTTACCTGTATGCATGTTGCTGGAGCTGCGTACCGTGCGATACTTCTGCTTTCGTGTGTTCGTTCGTCGGGCCGACCAGAAGGGGAGACGCTATAGTACGTGTTGCCCCTTCGTATCACGCAGTGCTGCTTGTGTGTTCGTTGCTCGGGCTGACCAGAAGAGGACACGCTAAAGAACGTGTTGCTGGTGCTGCGTACCATGCGATACTGCTGCCTTTGTGTGTTCGTTTCTTCGGGTTGAGGGGAGGCTGGAGAGCAAGCATTTGAGCGAAAAAAGGGCGGGACGACCAATCTCTGTCGCGACTGCTGTGAGACGCCTGACGACGGACGCTCCCCCGTCCCCTACATACCCCATCCATCGGCCTCCCTCCCTTTCGCGCAGAGAAACCCTGCTGAGCATGTACGCGAAGATTGCGGACGGAAAGCGGCTGGATGACTTAATTTCGCTTTTCCTGGGCAGCCAGGAGCACCCTGCGTTAAGGTGTGTTATCTATATCGGGGGGGGCGGGGGGGGTCACTCGAAAAAAGCTCTGCGTTCACCCTTTGCGGCCGGGGGATTCCTAGGTATCGAGCGTTGACGACGTGTCTGTGGATGTGGTTGGATTCTGACCGTAGGGGTGGAAAGGGGGGCTGGCGGGGCTACGAGCGGCCGTTCTTTTAACGTTTGACAGTTTTCTGTTTTTCTATCCCCGCTGAGACGAAAATGAGTTCGGGCAGGCTGTCGCAATTCCTCGGTAGCTCTCAGCGAGCCCCACACCGTTCTCCCCAACCGTGCGTGCCATTCGCGATCGGAACAGTTTTTAAACATTTTGTCCCGTGGTACACGCACGCCGTCGTCCATGGAATTGACACCATAAGCAAGAACCTTTTGCGGCGTTTGCGGAATACCCATCTACAATTAAGGACTATACCATGTACCATGGGAAGGACTATGTCATGTACCATTGAAGGGCTAGGTGGCGGTGTTTCGAGAGTTGGCCTGCTTTATCGACGGGACGGATGAGGTAGACGGGGTTAGAGCTGGCGTGCGATGTTTGGGAATGGCCGGATCTGGGGGTAGGAAGTCCGTCAGGTTACGTACTCTCTTCCTGCCAAGCCATGACGCAAGGTTCTCCAACTAGGACACTCCTGGGTATGGTTGAGGTGTAAGAAAAGTTGGCGGCTTGATTCGGGCTTTTAGCCCACAGCTGCAAGGATGGGGTTCAGGCCAGATGCCGTTGACCGACCGCCTGGAAGGAATCAATCGTGAGGCTTACCTAGATCAGTTCGGTACCGGCATGTCGTGGGGCTATCAGACGAGTGCCGCAGAGGGGGGGGGGGGCAACGCTTCTCCCTCATTGGCCTTACGCTGTCCTGTAGTTCAAGTGTAGCTAATGTCACGAGCGTACATTCAACGGAAGGCGTGCCCTGCCAGCCACCATACACCGTTCCCCTGCCTCGTAGAACAGTGCCCAATTTTCAGTTGGATACAACTCCTGCGCCTTTCGAGGGTGAAAATCATATCCGCCCGTCACTGTTACAAGGACAAGTCTGGACAAGCGGGGGCACGCTATTGTAACTGTGTTTTCTGCCCCCCCGACCCCCATCTCGAGTCCCTGCCTCGCAAATTTGAGATAGATCTGTGACGTGCCCTGCGCATGTATACTGGTATGTGTTTCCTTCTCATTCCATCCACCTGCCTCTGGTTTAATGGTACGGTACTGCGGTTTTCGCAGGTATGCTTGCTTGGAGCTGCTGGGATTCGTGGGTCAGCTGAAGCAAACACACCGGCGGTTGTTGTGTCGGATGGATGTAATCAAAACGCTGCTCACGGTGCTGGTAAGCGTCGCCTTGCCTCTATTCTTCTCTCCCTTTTGGCCAGCAAGACTACACGTTCTCAGAAGCCTGTTCCGCCAACTAGATCTGAAGGAAACCCCCCGACATTTGTTTTGGTGTTAAGAGAAACAAAATCTTGTACCGATCCTGCACACCTGGATATTGTTTTGCCAGCTCCCCCCCCCCTGTTGTCGAAATCTCCTCGTTGCAAAATGACCAGAAACATTGTTGATTCCCGGGTGTCGGCGATTTGTGTTGAAGTTTGTAGATGCTCCGTCTCCAATC